GAGAACGCGAAGCGAAGGCCGAAGATGAAAAATTGTGCAACTTAATCGGAGGTGTCTCACAACACTATCTGTGGGAGTAATTAACGGGGGCTTCCGGAGACCTCGGAGAACCAGGAGACCACGATCGCTTGGTCACTTGGTCGTGCCTCACATTTTCTTTTCTCCCTTTTCCATTTGTGTATTTTGTACACTAGCAGGCCTGCAACATTTCGTTCCCCGATGCATGGGAGACATTTATACAACACATCTCCATCTTTTTGTACGGGTGTTTCTCCCTTCGTGTCAAACACGGCCATCCAACTGTATCCCCCAAATGTCCCCTGTTTCAAACACGACATTCAAACAAAATGTATTGAGTTCAATATAATAAGTGCAAAAATAGGCCAGAGGCCGGTGAAGCCAGTGTGAATGCGACGAAGTTTCTCAACGTCGACACGGGTTTTGGAGAGGGAGAGGAGCGGACGGAGCAAGAGAGGAGAGTGGGCTGAGAGGTAGGGTTCAGAGAGGGGGCAGATTGGGGTTTTTGTGGGGACGACGTGCGGTCGGTGATGGCCCGGGCTGATATGGCGGACACGCCGGGGCCGCCCCATATATGCCCCACATTTGGGCTGGATATGTGAGCCGCCGAACAACCCAGGCGTTTGAGGCCGGTTTGAGGCGTCCGAATTGATCGTTTTTTTTATCGGTTGACCGGTCCGCCTGCCCGGACGTTTAAGATGGGTTTGAGGTGCCTGGTTGTACATGCTCTAAAATGTCTACAAACATCGGGATGGGCGTCAGCCATCCAACTATGTCCCCCATTTTAAACAGGACATTCAAATGAAATGTAACGAGTTTGATAAAACATATCCAAAAATAGGCAGGAAGCCAGTGAAGCCAATGTGAATGCAACGAGGACAAGTTTTTTTTGGCATGGATCAGAGTTGTGAAGTCAGTGGTCCGACCCAATTTGATTATCCGGACATTTGAGGACGTTTTAGTGACCCGTGTTGGAGATGCAGCTGCAGTGGCCTTGATGGGTCCCACATCGACGGCACCGATGGCAAGCTCGCCGGCCCGATCGATCGAGCTTTGGATCGACTCTCGACGCGCGAGCGATGCCACAGCCAGAGCCAGTCCCTGTTTCCGGGAAGCTTCACGTAGAGGTAATAGCATCCCAGGTACCCTAACTTGCACCGAATGTGATGATCTAGTCCCAAAGTTGCAAAACTAGATCAATTCATACCCCAACTTGCAACCAATGTGATGTTTTAGTCCCAGACCAATCAGAGCTCGCCAATTGGCTGCCAAGTGGCTGGCCGGTCAGCGCCTGCAGTTTTGCACAAACCCCCCTGCCGTTTCACTGATTCAACCTGCAGTTACCCCCCACATGAACCCCCACCTGAATTAAATCTGTGCTCGACGAAATTCCGCGGAGAAGTTGGTGCTTGCGCGCGCAGTTCCTGCTCATGTCCAAGAGCCGCAACATCAGCCGCCTGCTTGCCGAGCAGGACGAGCAGCGTCTAGAGGGCCAGCGGCGGCGTCGGCATGGGAGTTCTGAAGGCAATGTCGAAGAGCATGCTGCGGCAGAAACAGAGATTGAGGAAGCAGAGGAGGAGGACGTGGACGAGGAGCAGCAGCATGTTAGGATGCATGACGGCAAGTCGTACCGCATCACCTTCCCGGACTTTCCCGGCGGGCCAGGCACCTTCGAGGCGGCGCCAAGTTCTGCTACGGCGTCCGCGTCGAGCTCACACCCTGGAACGTCGCCCTGCTGCGGTGCGCGGCCGAGTACCTGGAGATGACGGAGGAGCACTCCGAGGACAACCTGGCCGCACGCGCCGAGGCCTACCTCTCGCAGTCTGTGCTCCTCCACCAAGGCGCTCAAGTCCTGCGAGGAGCTGCTGCCGCACCCGAGGAGCTCGGCATTGTCGCCCGCTGCATGGACGCCATCGCCGCGCGCTCGTCGGCGACGTCGCGCTCCTGGTTCGACGACCTGGCCGTGCTCGGTCCGCACATGTACAAGCGGGTGATGGTGGCCATGGCCGCACAAGGACGTGATGACGGAGGCTTTGGAGGGCTGCCTCGTGTCCTACGCCAAGGCCACCCTCCCGGGGCTGTCGAGGTCCATGAGGTGGCGCCGCGCGTCCACGCCGGTCTCGTCGGAGGTGGAGCAGAGAGACCTCCTGGAGGCGGTGGTCGCGAGCCTCCCCACGGACAAGGGCTCGGGGAGCATGGTGACCGCGAAATTCCTGGTCGCGCTGCTGCGGACGGTGCACATCCTGCGCGCTTCCGACGCGGCGCGCGCGGCGATCGAGCGGAAGGCCGCGACGCAGCTGGAACAGGCAACGGTGGAGGACGTGCTCATCCCGAGCTACTCCGGCGCCACGGAGACGCTCTACGACGTGGACTACGTCGAGCGGGTGCTCAGGCACTTCCTGGTCGAGGAGGAGGTGGGCGAGGACGAGGCGTCGTTGTCAGCTGCAATCACCGAGGAGGAAGCGGCGGCAAGGACGATGGCGTCACGTCCGTTGACCGTGGCAATGGTGCAGGTGGGCAAGCTGGTGGACAACTACCTGGCAGAGGTAGCGTCCGACGCCAACCTGAAGCCAACCAAATTCTGCGAGCTCGCGCTGGCAATGCCGGACCACGCCCGCATCTACGACGATGGCGTCTACCGCGCCGTCGACATCTACCTCAAGGTACGTACATTCCCCGATTTGTCATTGACTGCTTCTTTTTAGAGCATTAGGAAGCCACAAGGCTTCCCCGGTTCCATTGCAACGCTTGAAACCAGAGTTGATACAACGTTCAGGAAAAGAAAAAAACAGAAAAAGTAAAGACAAGCTACCAGCCGCGAAGGCACCCAGACTACAACTAAGGAGCTAAAGAAACTAAAAAGACCTTGCACAGGGCTAGTCTACAAGGAGTGTCGGAGTCTGGTTGTCGAGTAGCAGTTTGTTGCCGACTCCATGGCTCGTGACTGGTGCATGCATGCGCAGGCGTATCCGCGGCTGACGGCGGAGGAGCGGGACAGGGTGTGCGACGTGGTGGACTTCAGGAAGCTGACGGTGGAGGCATGCACGCACGCGGCGCAGAACGAGCGGCTCCCGCTGCGCGCGGTGCTACAGGTGCTCTTCTTCGAGCAGCTGCAGCTCCGATGCGCCATCATGGGCACACTGATAGCGTCCATGGCTTCCCCGCGAGCGCGGCATCCGAATCCTCGTCTGCAGCGGCCAGTGGCGGCGGTGTGTCACGCCGCTGGCCCGAGCGAGGCGTGGCAGACGACAACGATGCAGGAGAGCCAAACGCTGCGGGTGGACATGGACGACATGATGAGCCGGGTGCAGGGCCTGGAGAGGGAGTGCTCCAGCATGCGAAGGGCGATCAAGAAGATCGACGGCAGTGGCGCCGCGTCGCAAGGCAGCGGCAGCCCAGACGTGGCCGCCCCGGCAGGCTGGCGGTCCAGGTACCGGTGCAAGTTCAGCACGCAGGTGTGCGACTCGCAGGCGCGCAACGCGGTCGTGTCCAGGGCGTCCAGGATGGGGATGAGCCTAGGATGGGTGTCCAGGGCGTCCAAGCCGTCCATTGATAAAAGGAAATGACAGGGGGGTTTGTGCAAAACTGCAGGCGCTGACCGGCCAGCCACTTGGCAGCCAATTGGCGAGCTCTGATTGGTCTGGGACTAAAACATCACATTGGTTGCAAGTTGGGGTATGAGTTGATCTAGTTTTGCAACTTTGGGACTAGATCATCACATTGGGTGCAAGTTAGGGTACCTGGGATGCTATTACCTCCTTCACGTATGGGTGAGGCAGGGGCACCACCCTCGATCACGTCTCCATCGTCTCCATCGTCTCCCGTCTCTGTCGATGCAGTCTTGTCCTTTTACTACTTATGTGATTGCTTTGGTGGTCATGGCTTGATGCATGCTACTCCATTCCAGTGCAAAAATTGATGCTTTGCTTGCGGTGGATGGTGTGCAGCAAAGTGTGAAGCTAGGTAGGCGCGCGCGGGGACTGAGGGCCCGTCCGAAAACACTCTCGCTTCCAACTCCGCGGAGCTGAAGTGGTGGAGCGGAGCGACGCGCAGTTCATTTTTACGGAGCTGCCATTCCATGGCTCCGTATTTCAGCGCTGGGCAAAGCGGAGTAGCTGGAGCGGCCCGTTGTCGAATAGGCACTGAGTAGTAAACTGGTCCGTGGCCTAGCCGTTGGTTGCTGAAACATAATTTAGGCCAACTTCAGTGTATGATTCCGAACGGACGCCCGTTTTAGCCTGCTTTTGTTTGTTTGGAGCAACAATGAGGTTGTTCATGTCTGCTTGTAGCCGTTGTCGTGTTGGTGCCCCAACGCGTAGCTGCATCCCATATCATGTCCGGGGTGAATGTGATATAAAAAAAATCACAAAAACTCAAAAAAATTGCTGAAAAAAAATAAAATAAATGCAAATATAAAAACATAAAAACATAAGAACATAATTAAACATCAGGGTCCTAAAAAGGCCCCGCTCCACAATTCACATAGACATAATTAATATAAAAAAGAAAAGAAAAGCACCGCCCCGCGCTCCTGCCGTGCCCGTCGCCGTTGTCGTCCTTGTCGCCAGTGAGGTCGATGTAGGGTGGCGGCGTCCAGAGGTGGGGCAGTCCCTGGAAGGCGGGAAGCACCTGAAAGGTGAGAGGCGCCTGCACCACCTCACCCTGTGGCAACGTCTTCGCGCTCCGGTGACCGCGGATGCGTAGGGCACTAGTTCACGACCCCCAAGCCATCGGCCATGTCCGCGGTTGTGCACAACCAGCTCCATCGCTGGCCCACCAGGTCCGGGTGGAACGCGGCGACGGGCTGCTCCTCCAGCACCTCCTTCCTCACCTCCTCCTTGACGTCCCTCATCTCCAGCTCCGGCACGGCCATGTCGCCGACCGCAGAGAGGGCAATTATGGTCTTCAGGCCCTCCCATTGGCGCTCATTGTGCGTGTTCATGTAGTTTTCCATGACACGTTAAAGGAGCCGAGCCTCCTCCTCTGTTATGCGAGGAGGTGGTGGTGGCGACGGAGAGGGCGAAGGAGATGGTGACGGTGTCGGCGTGATGCCGTGCACGCGCGTACGCCCATGCATGTGGGGAGGGCTCAGAGCACGCACGGCGCTCATGTGGCCGTCGCGGCCCCGATGAGGTGCCGGCAAAGAAGAACGCGCGTCGTGTGTCGTGTTCGTCCCGAAGCCACAAGTCCTAGAAGGCGGAGTTGATGTCTACTACACAACTTTTTTTCTAAATATTGTTGGGCCTCTAAATACAAAAGTTTGTAGGACAGGAGCAACACCCTCACGTCTCCATCGTCTCCCGTCTCTGTTGATGCAGTCTTGTCCTTTTACTACTTACGTGATTGCTTTGGTGGTCATGGCTTGATGCATGCAGATATGCATGCCCCTCCATTCCAGTGCAAAAATTGATGCTTTGCTTGCAGTGGATGGCGTGCAGCAAAGTGTGAAGCTAGCTAGGGGCGCGCGGGGACTGAGTAGTGGTCTTCATGGGTTAGAGTTAGTTTGGATTAGTTTGGACTCAACTAATCTAAAAGTATCCAAACAGAAAGGTTAGTTTGAGTTAGACGCATCTAACCTATCAAAAAAAACCAACCCACCTAAGAGGTGTTTATTTGGGTTAGTTCTTCTCGGGATCACTAAAAACACAATTTTCTCTCGCTCTTCTCGTAGCAGATCCCTCTTCACTTCCTCGAAGCTTTTCGTCCTCTCCCTCCCTCCCTCTCGCACCTTCCATGAAGGTGCCTCGCCGTATCCGTGCTCCATCTAACCCTGCCATCCAAACACCTCTTTGGTTAGAATTAGTTCAGGGTTAGTTCAGAGTTAGAATCTAACTCTAACCTCTAACTGAGTTAGAGTATCCAAACAGGGCCAGTAAACTGGTCCGTGGCCTAGCCGTTGGTTGCTGAAACACAATTTAGGTCAACTCCAGCACACGTGACCCTGAACGAACGTCCGTTTTAGCCTGCTTTTGTCCGTTTAGGGCGACAATCAAATAGTTCATGTTTGTTTGTGGCAGTTGCTGTGTTGGTGCGTCCAACGCGCGGCTACACCCCATATCATGTCCGGGGTGGATGTGATATAAAAAATCACAAAAACTCAAAAGAAAAGCCGAAATAAAATATAATAAACGCAAACATAAAAACATAAAAACATAAGAACATAATTAAACATCCCGGTACTAGAACGGCCCCGTTCCACAGTTCACATATACATAATTAATATAAAAACAAAAGAAAAGCACCGCCCCACGCTCCTGCTGTGCTCGTCGGTGTCGTGCCCGTCGCCATTGTCGTCCTCGTCGCCAGTGATGTCGATGTAGGGTGGCGGAGTCCAGAGGTGGGTTGGTCCCTGGAAGGCGGGAGGCTCCTGGAAGGTGGGAGGCGCCCGTTCCACCTCATCCCGTGGCGACGTCTCGCGCTTCGGTGACCGCGGATGCGTAGGGCACCAGTTCACGACCCCCAAGCCGTCGGCCATGTCCGCGGCCATGCACGACCAGCTCCACCGCTGGCCCACCAGGCCCGGGTGGAACGCGACGACGGGCTTCTCCTCCAGCACCTCCTCCCTCACCTCCTCCTCGACGTCCCTCATCTCCAGCTCTGGCACGGCCACGTCGCCGGCCGCAGAGAGGGCAATCATGGTCTCCAGGCCCTCCCATTGGCGCTCATTGCGCGTGTTCATGTAGTCTTCCATGACACGTTGAAGGAGTCGGGCCTCTCCTCCTCCTCTGTCATGCGAGGAGGTGGTGGTGGAGACGGTGAGGGCGAAGGCGATGGTGATGGCGTCGACGTGATGCCGCGCACCCTCGTACACCCACACACGTGGGGAGGGCTCGGAGCACGCGCGCAGCGCTCACGTGGCCGCCGCGGCCCCGATGAGGTGTCGACAAAGAAGGACGCGTGCCGCGTGTCGTGCTCGTCCCGAAACCACAAGTCCCAGAAGGCAGAGTCGACAGCGTACCTGGGGTCGTAGAACAGATCGTCTGGCAGGAGGCGGCGGTGGCGTTCGATCTCCTCGTGGCGGACACGGCCGCTCGTCGGGATCGGCACCCGGTCCGCGGACAAATGCCAGTTATTGGACAAGTGAACGTCGCTTCAGGGGAGCGGCATCCTCGTCTCCTAATAACAATGGCAAACATCCGCGTGGATGTATTGTCGGTCGATGGTGCATGGGGCAGGCGCGGGGCCCTCCGTGGGGGTGATGCGGCCTTTGCTTTAACGCCGCCGCAGCGGCGGCCCGACGACGAGCCAACCTCATGATCGTGCGCCCCCTTGCGGCCGGTCTACCACACCATGGTTGTCCGTGGCCGGCGAGCTCGAGGAAGGGGAAGGGGGAGCTAGGGTTTGGGTGTCGGGTTTCGAGGAGGCCGCGGCGACTGAAGTGGGAACGTGGACTGCGACCGGTTCACGACTTCCCATTTAAGAAGGACGCCTACCGCGCATCTGGGTGGATGACAGGTGGGACCGGCCACACGTGCACATTTT